CCAGTATAGTCATGGGGACACTATACTGTAAAAGGCGCTGTCCTTTGGATGAGACGTAAAACCGAGGTCCTGACTCTCTGTGGTTATTAAAAATCCCAGGGTGTTTCTCAAAAAGAGTAAGGGTGTTACCTGGGCATCCTGGCCAAATTTCCCATTGGCCTTTACCAATTATGGCCTCCTAATAATCCCCATCTATGAATTGGCTTCATCACTCTGTTAGCTGGTGTGTGGAGAGTGTGCTTGCGCACTATGGCTGCCGTCGCATCATCCAGGTGGATGTTGCACATTGTGGTGGAGTGGAGTTCCCATAACCTATAAAGCACTTTGAGTGAAGTGACAAGAACAGCGCTACAGTAGTGTAAGCAATTATTATTATTAATTTTAATTTCCTGCCCCTCAATGGCCATTTATTTGCAACGGCAGTTGCTTTCTGTAATCAGTGACAATATCTTTGATTTGGACAGATTAAATGAAGGCTTTACCATGCAACAAAATAATACAACACAGGGTAAGTCAGATAACTTAATGATATATCTGTTCTCAAAAGAGCCTCTATAGCTGTCTGTATAAAAAATGTGTATATATACAAGATTGGGGATAGCATACTGCCCCTAGGAGACCTGGTAGAAGAACAAAGCTTTTCTGCTATAAAAACATTTACCCTCACACTTTGTGATCTGTTGGTCAAATCTAAAGTAGTCATGCTTGTCAAATCAAACATAGAAACAAATTCATCAGGCAGCTGCTGTTTCTTAGTGTTAAAACCATCAATATTCCCTTTGTTTTTAGAGACATTTCCTTTGTCCTGCCCTGCCATAGTTTTCATTCCACTGCATGAAGTTCTTTGATTAAATCAGAGTTTGTCTTCAATTTTCCTTATACTTTAATTTTGCCTTTATGTTTAATTTAAGATCTGACTTCCCTCTTAGCAGACTCCTGAAGCGGTTTACTTGTGTCACAATAGACTATTCAATGATTTGATTACCCAAGGCTAATTTCTTGAATAAACTTTAACTATGTTTCGTGGAATCAACGTTTTTGTTCACAGAAACATATATCACTACAAACCTCGTCTGTGAGTTAATCTAAATTATCACAACATTCTGTGCAATCAAAAAAACCCTGCAGATGCTGTGTGCTGTCATCTGTCGAGACCTTTACTTTTGGTCGAATAATCTTGGCAGCCAGCAAATGGTGTAGTCTGATGCCCTGTGTCTTGCGTACAACACTTACATTAACTAGAGAGAGTGTGGAAATAGTGAAGACCGAAACAACGTGCAAACCAGGACTTAAAACTGTGCTCTTAGGGTGAATGTGTTGCTTAAACCAATAGGTACACATTTGTACCACTGCTTAATTGTTTGTGAAGATGACATTTCAAAACTTTGATGGTAATTAAAAAAAGCAGTTAAGTTCAGAGAAACCATTAGAATTAAGTACTTAAATGTATAAGATGACATATCCCCTCCTTGACTATACATTTCCCTTTGAAAGGAAGACTAAACTGGCTGATATCAAATGTAAACCCTTGTGTGTAATATCCCTTCTGTCTGTTTTACAATAGGAGGCTTTTATCTCTTTGAGATTGCAGTAATTTAGTCTAGTGCTTTCCTAACTGTACCACGAAATCAGAAGAGATTTAGTTCAAAATGTGTGGATTGGAATCTTCGTGTAGTCTTCCTAACATTTAACCAAATATTAAACTGTTTGTTGCAAGAAGCTCACAATTCACATATCAATATTTAGTAAAAGAAAGTCACCATAAAATATTTCTCATTAATATTGTAGCCTTTGTTTTATTTCTGTTGTGAAAGTCTCTTTGTGAACTTTGTACATACTTTTTCAATTCAATTCAAGCTTTATTGTCCCCTGGGGGAAATTTGTTTTACGGCACAGTCAAACACAACACAATGACAAATAAACATCAGCAAAAGGGAAGAGAATGCAGTAGTGTTACAGGATATAAGAAACAAGAGACAAGGTAGTTACTTTGCATTGTTTAAGAGTGTAATTGCAATGGGAATGAAAGATTTCCTGAGTCTGTTGGTTTTACACCTGGGAGTACAGAGGCATCTCCCAGATAGGAGAAGTGTGAATTTGCAGTGGAAGGGGAAAAATAAGCTTATATAGCGCTTTTTTGGACACTCCACTCAAAGCGCTTTACAGGTAATAGGGACTCCCCTCCACCAATCGCCCTGGGATTTTTAATGACCACAGAGAGTCAGGACCTCGGTTTTTTACGTCCCATCCGAAGGACGGCACCTGTTTACAGTATAGTGTCCCCATCACTATACTGGGGCATTAGGACCCACATGGACAACAGGGTGAGCACCCCCTGCTGGCCCCACTAACACCTCTTCCTGCAGCAACCTTAGTTTTTCCTAGGAGGTCTCCCATTTAGGTAGTGACCAGGCTCACACCCGCTTAGCTTCAGTGGGTTGCCATCCTTGAAGGAAGTGCTCTAGCTAGTAATTAGAGCATGTAGCAACACCAACGCCGTCATCGATGTGTCATTTGTAGAGATCAGGGACAAAGGGTGTATAGGAAGCAAAGAAGCATTCTTCTACCCAGCCAAAGAAAATATTGGCATAGCTAGGTCGCATCCTGGTGCCCATGGCGACTCCACTAATCTGGTGATAAAAAAGGTTATTAATGAGTTGTCTGTCTGTGTGTTTGCTTATGCAATCATTAGTGTACAAAATGTGAGGGGACTGCTGATGGGGTGGTGCGGTGGCTTTGTGGCTAAGGATCTGCACCTGTGGCTGCAAGGTTACCAGTTCATATCCCGTGGCTGGTAGAGCAATCCTACTCCGTTGGGCCCCTGAGCAAGGCCCTTAACCCCAACTGCTCCAGAGGTGCTGTATAAATGGCTGACCCTGCACTCTGACCCCAAGTTCTCCCTGTCTGTGTGTCTCATGGAGAGCAAGTTGGGGTATGAGAAATGACAAATTCTTAACACAAGAAATTTAATATGGACAATCAAGGGATTTCATCTTATCTTATCTTATCTTATCTGAAGCTGCATATTTTATATGGTGGACATACAAAACCCGTTTCTAGAATGGAAGAATGCTGGACACAAGGGCTACTATGTAATCCTATACTGTTATATAGGAAAACGTGCTATGAAACTAACCAATTGTATTAAAATAACTTATCTCTAGCAAATAGGAAGAGGAAGTTGAGAGTGCTCTTGGAGTGCTTCCAATCTTATAAGGTCAGACAAGCATCATAGATAACAGAAAAATATTTAAGGACTGTTCTAATTTAATCACTTTGAGAAAAACATACGGAGCATCTCTGTGTGTTTTGCTTCCATGCGCATGAAATGTCTTGTTTTTTATATCCACATTTTTTTTTCTCATTTGTGACTTGAATTCAAACATATTCTTTGAAATTAGATGCTTTGGTTGTATTTGATGGATTACTCCTGAGAAGCAGTAATTCCAAAAAATGTTACTGCTGAAGTAATTAAAATACTAAAATTATGTAATATATAAAAAAATTGATTGCATGGAAAATTTGTTTAAAAATGTATGCCATTTCAGTATTTTCTGTATAATTAATATTCTCTTTCCTCCTAATGAAGGCTGTGGATATCACGTCATGTGGCAACTTTGCAGTAGTAGCCCTGTCATCAGGACATCTAGACGTATACAACATGCAGTCAGGCTACCATAGAGGTCAATATGGCAAAGATAAAGGTAAGGCCCTATAAAGGTGTAATAAGTGTTAAAAAATGCTTTTTTCAAATTATTGGTTTATCCAATGTGCAGTTGGGATGAAAAAAAAATCAATTTATAGAATATAATTTCAAGGCCGTCTGTCTTTGATTAATTCTAGATCTCACCAAGATGTGAGCTTTTTTTCAGAATCTCGAATTAAGTCTGTCTGTAATGCCATGGCTGAATACAGTTGTGTGAGTGGTGATTTGTCATTTCAAGGGACTGGAGAGTGAAAAGTGAAAAAGAGATAATGAATTACTGGCTGGTGGGGCTTAGTCACCCCAGGCCAGTCAGTAATGGAGAAGAATGACGATCCCAGGAGAAGCTGGACCAGTTGCGTTCCTGGTGGACAGAAAAGCCGTTAAACTCAGCCTGGTGGAAAAGGGAGTCTTGGGTATGGAAGGAAGCGAACGGGTTTAGTGGGGCAGCCCTCAGTAATGTCAAGGGTGCAGGTCGCCAAACTCGAAGGTTGACACAGTGAACTTCTTTTCAAGTGTGGAAAGAAGTGCTGGCTAGAATCAGACTGCATCAGGTGATGCGATGAGCAGGTTGGGAGCTAAGGCTGGAGCACCGGGCAATGCTGAGAGCCGAGGCTGCTGCACGGAATGGAGGCTAGAAGCTGGGGATGCTGTCAATCGGAATCCGCCAGTCAGAACAAAGGGAGTGTCATGTATGGGAGAAATGGTGTTGCAAGCTTCCTGGGAAAGGAGCTGGATGACTTAGAAGGGCAGACTTGAAGTCACTGAGACTGCTGCGTGGCGCAAAGGATGGCTGTGTGTGCCAGATGACATTGGAGCAGAGGCTGGTGTGCTGGGCAACACTGAAGCTGAAAACTGCTGTGCAGAGCAGGGGCTGGCTCGTGCACCCGGCGATGCTGGAGCTGAGGCATAAAACTGCCACACATCCCATGGGTTAGAAAAAATAAAACGAGGCTCGGGTACGGAGAAAACCTGAATAGAGAGCATCCTGCAAAAACAGAAAAAACACAGGGAGGCTCGGGTACAGAGAAACCAAATAACGAGTGTCCTTAAAAAAGAAATAATTACAGGAAGACTCGGGAATGGAGAAACCGAATAACAGGAGTCCTGAAAAAAGACAAAACTGCGCAGAGTGAAGTGCAGGCTTCAGGACAAAACTGCCACACAGTCCTTTCTCCCTATCAGACTCTCTTTGTCTGAAATGGAATAGTGATCCTCCCCCAAAAAATGAGCATACACATAACCTGAAACCCAAAATAAACAGTACATCTCCTTTTTATAAAAGTAATTAAACTTTCATGTTTTAAGTAAGGATGAAAATAATATATAACTACAGTAATAAGCAAAAATATTATTTCTGATCTTAAGGCCCATAAATCACCAGGGACAGATGGCTTTTCCAAGTGAATTCTATAAGGTGTTAAAAAGGTATTAAAAAATCAGTTGGCCCCTATCCTCCTGTCTACCTGTAATTGGATAAGGGAAGCTGGAGATCTTTGACCTTCTTGGAATGAAGCTATTATTTCTGTTATTCCAAAGAGGGAAAAGATAAAACTAGATGTGGCTCCTTTCGTCCAATTTCCATTCTTAACATAGATTACAAAAGAAAATGCTAAAACTATTTTCTGCAGAACAGTGGTAAGAACATATGCAGATTTCAAGAAAGCTCCACCAGTTCACAAGTTTGGAGAAAAGTCTTTGACTTCTTTTTTTGATAGCCCAAAAATTCACAGGAAAAAAAGTTCACAATGTCGGAGGTAATGTGGAGAACAAGTAGCAACTCATTCACACTTATTCTGGTGATGCCTGAAAATACAGCAATATTGGAAAATTCATACATTTTGCGCTTACTTATATAGTAAACCTAGACAAACCATTTGAATTCTCCATTATGCATATGGGGAATTTTACTTTTGACTACATGGAGCTAAAAGACAGATATATACTAGGAATTTATTTAGCTTTAGTAGGAAAAACTATCACTATCAAGAAAATGGTTTACTAAAGATTCCCCAACACCGAAACAGTGGATCAGTGTTGTGAAGGAGATTTATATAATGGAAAAGATCACACTTTCTCTTAAGTTACGAGCAGAGAGGTTTAGCAAGTACTGGCAAGTCCGGATTGGGTTTGTCTGATTTTGTTCTGTAAAAAAACAGTGTTTAGTTTTAACATCCCATCCATGCTGGCATTATGTAAATAGTTCATTATTTAAAAATCTTATCAAAAAATGAAAGATGAAAGCTGTAAGAAGTTAAAAAAGGATTTCAGTGTACTGTTGAGATTGCAACTTACGTGCAGGGTAATGACTGTCTAGCTCATCAAAAATAAATGTGGACTGTGAGACAAGGGCAAGTGAAAGAGTGCCATCAAAGAAAAAATGATGAATTGCCGTCAAAGCAGCACTTCGGCTTTATAGAGAAAAGCGGGAATTGAATGATGAGATCATTAACATGGATCACATGTTAGAACAGAACAGTTGAAGTTATTGTGAAAACCCTTAAAATGAACCCATAAAACCCATAAAAATATGAGTGATATTGTTCATTAACTCTGTATTGTTGATTCTGTTCTGAAGCTCATGAAGGACCAGTTCGTGGACTGGCTGTAGATGGACTCAACCAGCTGACTGTCAGTGTTGGAGCAGACAAGTTGATCAAGATCTGGAAATTTAAGTCTAAGGAACTGGTTCACACAGTTGCACTGAAGTCCTCACCTGCTGCTGTATTTTTACATAGGGACAGGTAAGAATAATATTGAGGTCCAGAAATATTTTGAAGTTTCCATTCCTGTGAAGTATCAATATAGGCTGGATTACTAAGCAAAAAATAGAGTATAGGGCATTTAGTGTATTAATTTTTGTTCAGTTTCTGTGGTAATATTCATAGATTCCTTCAGTAGAAATTAAGAAACAAAATGAAAAGTATTTTCATTTATTTCCAACATATGTCTTATCAGCATATTGCACACTTCTGTACAAATGTTAATGTAGGATGAAATGCCAGAATAACGTGACTCAGTGAATATATTAAATGCATTTTACTTTTTTGCTATTAAATTGTTACTGGCTGGGTTTTAGAATTTTACATGTGGAAAAATTACAGATGAAAGCAGTGAGGGACCCCTGTTAAGTGACTGTTAATAAGGCTAAAATCTACAACATTTTGATTTCTGAAGCTTCATTGATCTGGGAGCTGTTCTAGATAGTTTGACACCTGCATTTATTGAGTTGTCAGAGCCTCCTTTTCTCTTGACTGTCTGCAGTGGAATGCTTGCCATTGCTTTGGATGATTTCGCCATTAACATTTTGGACATGGAGACAAGGAGAATTGTACGAATATTCTCAGGACACAATGGTCAAATAAATGACATGGTAAGTGACTGTATAATTTTCTTAGCAATTGCTCTAGTATTCCTGAATATTAGCTGACGTGCATTTGAATTCTTTATATTTAAAGGCCTTTAGTCCTGATGGTAGATGGCTGATAACTTCCTCCATGGACTGCACTATTAGAACCTGGGATCTTCCATCTGGATGGTAAAATTTGCATAAATACATTTTAACACATGTGTCATGTGGGGAATTAAATAGGAAGTACATGAACACAAAGAATCTTTCATAAAACTTCTGATGCTCAGATAAAGATAACCATTAAGTTTAAAATTCAAAACAGTAGACTTGGAATGATAAGTTTGAATGAAAGGTATGAAGGATGTTGCTCATTATGGACTGTTTTGCCTGGAATTTGTGTGTTGTCATTAACCACCATAGGTGCAACTATCATTAACCCTCCTTCAGTCCTTCTTCAACGCCTACTAGGCATCTCTACTGTCTAACCTGGCTTCCTATGAAAATAATGTGTCCATTATTAATGAGCCCGATTAGCAATTTGCCTAATATTGCCTGATATCTGGCATCTATGTTAGAGTTTGCACAATTGTGTACAGGCCAGACAGGCCTCCTGACCAAAAATTGGCACCGCCAGGCCAAACAAAACCTCGATGTCTGACAAAATGTACACAATAATCCATATTGAAATACTGTTTCGTAGTAATACATTGCAAGATCATTTGCCTACCAGCCGCCACGGGGATATGTGATTGCATAGCTCTCAAGTCTCACACGTCAGGACCAAATCTCATGGTCTCGTGTCCAGGTCTGAAAATCTCACGCATTTACATCAAGTCTAGGTTTATTTGAAAAAAAAAATGAAGTAATGAACGTACAGTTTTGAAATTGTTATAGGAACTTGCGATTCTGGTAATTAAATGTCATGCATTAGGGTTTTAGCCCCTTATGAGCTAGGTTAGAAATCGGCAAAGAATAAAAAAATGCGTCATTTTTTACAGGTGAATCATTGTGTCATAGACAAATAGATAAAAAGAAGGCTCATTTCCTCTGTGTACGCAAAATAATAAACAGTGCCCAAATAGCAAAAAGTACACAATGATGGAATGATACCTTGATGCAAACAGAAAATAGCAAATAGCTTAATAACACATTTCAAGTGCACAGCTCTTCCTGGATAGCCTACATCTTTGATGAATCCTTTAAAATCAAACTAGCTGTTATAGTCAAGTAATGTTCAAGTAGAAACCTTTACTTGTTCCATGGTCAAGTAATGTCTCATTAAGGGTAATACAGTTTAGTTACAATAATAACATTTAAGTTCACAAGCTATCATAGTAATCTAGCAGTTAAATAGCTACTTGTGTGTGTGTGTGTGTGGGGGGGGGGGGGGTATGAGGTTAACACCTGCACTAAGCTTTATCCTGTGGGATACACTGTATGTCTTCAAAGGACAATGAAGCATTAAATTAATTAAGTGATCCAGACAAATGATCAGTCACTAAGACTGCAATATAAGACTGCAACATGCATGTTATTGTTAACTTTAGCCTGTCAGGTAAAATATTTTTAAAACAGTGCCAACCATGTGTTCACAACTTTCAAAATATGGGTATGCCAGGCAAAAGAGTTACATAATCTTCTGCCTCCACATCGAAAAAGGCAAATATATCAGTGATTTGTGGCACACATATTTAGTCTTAGGCAAGAGTGTGATAAGAAGACTTTACTGCAAGTCAAGAAGATGTTTGTGGATGATAAGAGGAGGTCTGGTCATACTTTTTAAGGTTTCGTTTGACAAAAACTTGATAAATGAAAGTATAAAGAAATTTAGAAGTGAATAACAAATGACTGGATGCACTTCTTTGGAATTTCCCTATATGTAGTACTTTTATGTGCATTTCTCTAGTACTGCTTAAATTCAGATTATGTTTTCAATGTTTTTCAGCCTCATCGACTGTTTCCTGCTTGACGCAGCAGCTGTCAGTATTACCATGTCACCTACAGGGGATTTTTTGGCTTCTGCACATGTAGATGATCTGGGGATATATCTATGGTAAAAGTCCAGACATTACATATCAGTGTTGTAGGTGGATTCCCACATGTTGCAAATGTAGGATCCACAGTCTCACAGTCATTGAGTTAGGTGTTGACCACTGCAATATTCACAGAATAGAAATCTTTTGGCACACAATTATTCACGTTTTGTGAATCTTTGATGACTCATCAAGATGAGAAGCATGCTCTGAGATGATCATGTTTAACAATGTAGCCATTTTTTTAGACATGCTCTTCTGCATTTCATGCATAGAATGTAAGGGCAATTCCTTAGCAAAGTAATTTGAATAATTTTAAGAACTATTCACTTAGGTGTTTTAACAAAATGTTTTTTTCTTAATTTAAGTTACAGTCCAATTTTTACAAGATTTACGAGAGTCATTCTTTGCTACATAATTTTCATTTCAAATTTCTGGCGACAGTGGTTTAAATCGAAATTTAAAAGTATTATTCTGCCATGTTTGATACAAAATTTCAGTATCTAATAATAAAATTGGCATGAAAAATTTTATTTTAAAATGTTTTTGATATGCAATTATCTTTTAATTTGTTAACTCTAGTAATTAATATCCCCTGAAGATAGAAACATTTTTCCACTGGTTGCCCACAGTGTGGCAGTAATAGATCAGATTTCTGAAGAAAGGAAAAGCCAGTGTTGTGGCTTGCGCATGTGGCTCAGAAACCCCTTGAAACAAAAGGGGTTTCAATATTTCTATTTATGATACTGTTTGTGGCACATTTTGATACTTATTAAAAACACTACTAATCAAAATTAATTTTTCTTTAATCAAGGTCAAACAACACACTCTGTAGACCGGTGTCCCTGCGTCCCCTGCCTTCTGATTATGAACCCGCGGTGGTAATGCTACCTGGAACCTGTCCTGTGCAAGGTACTGAATTAATAGCCTGTCCCTGATTGCTCATTAACAGTTTACTTATTTGATGATTTATATAGTAGTTATTATTACAACATACAAATATTTATACAGAACCAAATATTATGATCAGTCAGTTGTGGTGGCTGTTGAATAGTTTATACCCAATTCTTAAAGGTTTTTTCTGCTCCTTTTTTTCCTGTTATATTCTTTAATCGCTAGAGGTTTGTATAAGATGATAGTTTTTCTGTAATTTTGGACCTTTCGAGGTTTTCAGTAGTACTCATATCTGCAGACGTTACAAATGGAGCAGATACATTGGAAGAGTTGAAGAGTTTTATTTTTAGGTTATTGGTCTGAAGGAGTTCTTATTGAATTGCCAACCGTGTTTCTATGTAGAGATGGAGTATGAAGTTGAGGAGGTCACGAGTGACGAGATGATAGAGTATGAGTCTCCAGAGCAGCTTGCAGACCAGCTGGTGACACTTTCTCTGCTGCCTGATTCAAGGTGGAAAAACCTGCTGAAACTGGATATTATTAAGGTTTGTATAAGTGAAACACCTGATTACAGTATGTTTTGTGTCACTTTTATCTATCATCTTCTAAGAATTGATTACTTCATCTTGATGTTTCTTTTTTGCTGTTTTGTGTTCATTGGGACTGTCATTTTATCTGTTCTCTGTTGCTTCAAGTCGTGGCCAAAGGAGGCCTAAAAGTTATTGAAAATAATTCTAAAAATGTCAAATAACAAAGAAACAGAAGTATATTAACATGTCTTCTGCAAATGTTTCTTCAAATTAGGCCTTAAAAAATTTTGATGGAAGTAAACTTCTGCTGTTTTACTTGGTTTTGGAATGGCAACATACAGTCTTTGCAGCATCAGACAATCACTGCAGCACACCACAGGAAATGAAGTCAATAAGAAATTAAATAACAGGAAATATAAACCACCCTTATTTAAACCACCAATTCTAGTGGAACCAGATGTGATCTGTTAGTGGATTATGTGCTTTCACTAGTTATTTTGTTATTTTCAAGTTAATGTTTAGTTTTAAAGTTTATTTTGATCATTTTTTTTCCATTAAAATAAATGGTTCAGTCTCTCAGGACCATAGCTGTGTAGTTTTTACTGCAGGGTGTACTACATGGATTTTTATTATCACTTACAATTATTTGAAGTGCCCAAAAACCAAAACACACTCTTAGATAGGCGGATACAGTCTACAGATAGTAGAAAGAAAAATTAAATGACGGACACCATGTATATTGAAAGCAAGGGCTTACCCACAGGGAAGCAAATAAAAGCCCAACATACTTAAAATGTACAGTACAGAAAAGCTGGATATTTACAGGACTGGTTTCCTATAAGTATGGCTACACGTATAGAGGGGTGATTGTTGTTGTTGTGCGGTAGGAGTTTCAGAGACCAAGGCAGCTCAACTTGTAGATGTTTTATGAACAATGGTGTCCAAGGTGATGTCAGCATGGAACTCCCAAGGGAAGACATCAGCAAAGTGCAACAGTGGGCAGAAGTGCAAACTCCAGGATTGTGACACCTGGGCATTAATTCAAAGTCCAAGGTGAAACAGACAAGCAACTGCAGATCAATGGACTGAAAAATTGAACCTGTGGAGCGAGCAGTCAGTTTGATCAAACACAGTTCACAGGAAAACTCCAGAGTCAGGTTGCAGTGCACAAATATCTCATCACTTCTGGCATTGCGCATTTGTGAGTCCAGTGGTGCAAAGAGCACAGGCAGTGTATAGCTGAGCAATGATATGGTCGTTGCAATGAAATGAATCCTTCTTTACTATATTCCCAGCAAACATATGAGTGCAGGTGTGCCTCCAACCTAAAGAATTTGACAGCCCACAAGTGATCTGGCAGTTCCTTAATGTTGTGGGACACATGTTTCTGGCGTGGTGGCCTACAAGGCAAGATCAATACTAATTACTGCTTGTACTGAGTGATCATTGTCCTAATGATAAAATTGTAGCATTTCTTTCCTGCGAGTAGGGGTGTCTTTCTGAAAGTAACCTCATTCATAGATCAAGTGTCACTGCCAGTGGTTTGATGCTCATGACGGTGATGCCATGTGTCTTAGACTTTTAAGTCGCCAGTTCTGGGCCCAGTTGAGCATTCATAGGATATTATGGAACAATGCCTCTGATAGCGTTATTCAGCCAGGCGTGAATTGCTTGACTTTCTTGTGGAAGAATAGTGCTGCTTTTCATCTGCAGAATTCCAGATGCTGGTAGATTATTCCACAGATTATATACTGTACATGGTGGTCACCCCAATAAGTGGTATTTTCATTTTGTGTCCACTACCTGTATATTTTAAAACTTATTTTCTTTACACACTGGGAAAAATGGTAAATATAAGCAACTTGCCTAAAGTCACTCTCTAAAAGTGCACTTGTTGATTTGAGAGAGTAATTAATTGGATTTTGTTGAATGTATTCAGTTTGGATTGTGCTCTGTGTATAAACTGTGTTGTTTGATCCAACAGAAAAGAAACAAGCCCAAGGAGCCTCCAAAAGTGCCCAAGTCTGCTCCGTTCTTCCTCCCCACAGTCCCTGGCCTGCTTCCTCAGTTTGGAGCTGCTGACAGTTCCAGCACAGAAGGCCAGGTGGGAAATTACATATAGCACTTTTCATTACATGTCTCCTCTTAATACTGTTGTAACATCCACACGCACAATTAGTTGGATTATCAGTTTGATAGCAGAACAATGTACAGTACTAGTAATATGTTTTTTTATCATTGCAAGGATAAAATGCTTTGAATATAGTAGTAAATAGCAAGAGTAAATGTAGTATGCTGTTTTAAAAGACTGTAGGGGCTCCTGAGTGGTTTAACCATTGAAAGTGCCTGCTTGAAGCACAGGTTTAGTTCTATAGGGCATGTGTTGCTCGTTTGAGACAGGGCTGTGTTGATGAGTCGCTGTGACTAGAATTCTCCAATTATAGATAATTCTACAATTATCATAGCAGGGCAGGCTTGAGTTGGCTAGAGTTTCCTTAGCTTGATGCACAACAGTAGTTACCAGGACTTGGCAGGTACCCGTGAGCTTGCAGTGATGTGAGTGAGAGACATTCCCTTCGATCAGTACTCCTCTTCCTGTGTAGCACTGTTTATCAAATGCCAGCCGTAAAGCCGAGTTGTTTAACAACTGGCACTACCCAATTAGGTCTGTTATAAAATTGATACTACTTGGAAAATTAAGATTACATGTCTTTGAGTTTAAAAAAGTTCTAATTTTATGTTGCTTTTCTATTTATTTGTACACAGTCCAATTAAATGGCTGGACTGTTAAGTACTTATGAAATAGTGATTCATGAGATTAGGACTTTATGATCACATTTCTGTTGAATAAATCACTCAGATCTGAAGCTAATGAAATAATGTTTTAGTAATTAATGTCTGTGTATTTTTACAAAAGCTTGTTAATAGTTTTATAATGACTTCAAAGTAAACTGAACTCAATTTTTGAGTGTTACATCAAAGTAAGGGCTTTGATTAATTCAATATATTCTTCTTGCAGTCAAAGATTGTGAATTTTGGAGTGCTGGCACAAAAATCAGATTTTTATCACCAACTTGAAGATGCTTTGGTCAGCAACGACTGTGAGTTTGTGTTAAAATATTTCAATTTTGTATAGTTGATCAAAGGTTGAAGATTTTCCTATTCACATAATTTTTCAGATATATTTGTTTGTTAAAGATAACAGTTTAATTGTTTAGCTTGTGTGAAAACATTCAGAGATTGTAAAAAAAGATAAATTCATTTATGTTCTTTAGGTGCATGTATAATATATATATGCTTTTATTTAAGATATATTTTTTGTTGTAAGATTATTGCTTGTAAATGTGCTGTATACATTATTTCTTTATACATTGTGTAATAATAGAACTAGAAATTGTTTTATACCTCTTAGTTTAATGGGCTCTGTATTTAATAGTCCTTAGTCCTCAGTTAATGCAGACAAGAGGAAAAATGTATTATATAATTTTAGAATTATGTTTTCAAGCCCTTGTTTTTTGGAAGAAACTTGTATGAATATTTCTGATTCTTTCAAACAACATTGATTGGTGTAGTAGATAAAAGTATTTGGTCAGTTCTTTGATAGGAGAAATAGAAAAAAAAAACATTTTTTTAAATTTCTTGATTTTGTGATTTTGCAACTTTTGATGATATCAGTAGGCCCAATTTTGCTTTACATTATTTAAAATGCGTTTTATTGATGTGCTCATAAGCACAAGCAACGCTTACATCTAGATATCCTCTTACAGCTGACTCTTGTATTTCGACACACAGAAACACAAAGTTGCCGTGGTATATACACGTCAAGTGAAAAGAAATTCTAACAGGATCATGTGTCTTATATAAGCAGTATATGACCAATCCCAAATACCAACACTGATCCATCTATGTATTTTCTAAACACTTTTACCAATTCTGAGTCGCAGGGGAGCCTATCCCCGCAAGTAAGTTGGAGTACACCCTGGAAGAGATGCCTTTCTTTTATAGACCACACACGGACACTTGCACACTCACACAGGGGCCAATTAACCTACCAGTATGTTTTAGGACTGTAGGAGGAAAGACATGTATAATATTAATATTTCTTTACATTGTTACTTTTAATTTTATTTATATCTTGTGAATCAGTTTTGAACAATGCTGATTATAATAAGAATCAATGCTGAATATAAATTGGCTAACTTCTAAGAAACCATGGCACATTTAGTCCTTTGTGTGCACATTGCAATTAAGACTGCTGATACTTGACTTTTAAATGTTTTTTGTACAGATACTGGTGCAGTGAGTCTTCTCAAGGGAATGGGCCCCTCCAGTATTGAGACAGAATTGCGTGGTTTGGCCCCTGATGTCGGGGGGTCCTTGGACGTGATGCAGAGCTTCCTAAAGATGATCATAAGCATTCTGGACAGCAAGAGGGATTTTGATCTGGCACAGGCCTACCTTGCTTTGTTCTTGAAGGTAATCTTTTCTTGATTAAATATTGGTATGAGGTAATTAAGGTTTAAGCAAAGGGATAACCTTGATCCATCCATGATAATACTGGTTGTGGTATTATTTTGTGATGCATATCCTGTTACTACAGTATAGTGACAGCTGATTCTGTAAAACCAGACTGATGTCTTATTTTGTTTCATATTAGTTCCTGCATGTTTAAGTTAAACCCACTCAGGATAAAAATTTTAACCTTTCTGCTTACCTGATGCACTTCTCTGATACACTGCTTTTTATTTGAGACATTTATGATGTACAAAAGTTACTCTGTATGAAAGGGTAAGCATGCACCATGTTAAAGTTGTGCAGTTTGGGCTTTACATTTTAAATGAAGAACGAATAGTTCTATTTTCTTTATATTATTTATATAGAATATTATTTTATATATCGCCATCTCGCAATTTGGAGTATTCACTAGGTCATTAACTTAGCTCACAGAGTCTGTTGCATAAGCCATAAGATCATGGGAGATCTTACAAACGAGAGGAGGCCATTCAGTCCATTGAGATCATTTTGTTCCTACTAATTGATCCAAGTATCTAACCTAACCACCACTTGAAACTTCAATAATGTTGAAGAAATAACATTGCCAAATACTTCGTTGCAAACACCCACAACTCTGGTAAAACATGCCTCCTATTCACTGTTTAAATATACTTCTTTGTAGTTTCCACTATTTTAGGTGGCTTGCAAGTCTCTGGGCTTACTTTTGCTTAAGAAGATGTAGTCGCATGGCTGGCTTAGCTGCAAACAACCCAACCAAACCAGCATCACTCGTCCAGTTGTGTTTAAGGACCAGTTGCCATTATTTTATGTAATGAGCAAGTTTTGAACTGGTTATGACTGGGCTTTAGGACTAGGCCTTCTATGCAGTGGGGCACAGTTATGTCTTGAGCCAGGCTTGATTCTTATTTCTGATTTTAATATTTAGTGGCAAGTTAAGGTATTGACGAGAGGGGGCTATTAGCTATTTTATCATTAGGACATCGTTATATAAACCCCAGTGAGGTTGTTTTTTACATACAGAATGTGTGGAAAGCTAGGAAGATGCAGAACACACGCACACACACACACACACACACACACACACAATATGGCTTGTAAGAACATAGTTATGGCTCAGTGTTGTATACAAATTAATGCTGCGACACTGCCCATTTTGATTTTTCCATTACCTGAGCTAGATGCTCTGGATATTTCCATTTCTGCCTTATTTAAATGACATTTTATCAAATATAGCACAGCTGTCAAATATTTATTTTTGTAATTAGTTAAAGAAAAGGATTGTATTAATTATTCATCAATGTAGGTACATGTTAAAATAAAAGTATTTTACTTTAAGGTATAAAATGAGAGCTTGTGATTCAATTCCTTTTCATTTTGGTGTTATTTACACTTAAGATTAGTTTTAGTTTAAGTTTAAATTCAAATAGCTTTACCTGTTTTGTTTTCTGCCATGAGCTACCTGATAAAATTCTACATAGACCTAATTTTTTAAAAACAAAATACCTGCTATAATAAAGTAACCCCCTCCCTCCACAAAAAAGATGAAATGTTTGTCATCCAATAGAAGATGTTTTCCTGGCATTGTGTTACTGTCTAAAATAAATATTTATTTCTCGAAAGACAACGAGCATTCTATGTATTGCAAAGCAATTTAGGAAACTTCCTAGTAAAAATGTTCTTTAAACTTCCTAGTAAACATAATGGTTCTCTCATATAAACACTAGCTGAAGATCATTGATTCTCAGATGAAGCGAAAAATATAATAATTTGTGTTCTTTACTGGCTTTAATGAAATGCAGTTTTGTTTGTTTGTCAAGACTGACATTTAGCCCCTTTATCTTACCAGAACATACTGTAAGTGTTTGTGAAAAGTGGTTCTGGTGGTAAAGTGTTTAACTCAACAAAAGATATTCACGAATTTTTATGGAAGATGGAAACATAACACAATAGTTTGGTATGATGGTACATGCTTTTATGTCATTACTTGCAGTAATGGTTCCATACGCTAAACAGAAAACAATAACAAACAAAAAACAAAACCTTTTACACTTTGTAAAACAATTCTAGAGGAAACCACAGTGGCTACAGTGCATTTTGGCTGTCAGTCTTTTTACAGGAAATAATGAGTCATTTGCACAGTGTATCACATGTGCAAGTAATGATGCTTTTCCTCTAAAGTAAGGATTCTGAAGTATAGCTACCAATTGTGTAAATTGGAAGAAAATAAACTACATAATTACAACTCAATTACGATAATTGAGCACAGAATCCAGTTTCCTGAAGTGTGTTGTAAATAACAGTACTCTAATGAGCATTTGAAATCTGCTTGGTTCAAGAGCTTAAGTAATTAGTAAGAAGGTATAATTGGGTAAGTAAAGTATGCACTAAGAGGTCAGGTTCAACAGAACCCAGCAGATGCAGTGTTCAATGTTTTAAGTTTGAAAATCACTGCAGCATCTTCTTTTCTTACTTTTGCATTTTGGGTATTTGCAGAAATACCCAAAATGTTACCAGTAAATGGTCTGACCTGTTTATTAAGCACACAAACATGCAAATTGTGCTTAAACATCCATCACTGAATATATAGGATAAAGTCACTAGCTTTTTGGTGGCCACTTTTGACAGTCTTATTTTTCTAATTTCTGCGCATTTCATTTCATTTTAATAAAATTATAATGATAATAAAATTTAAATAAAATTAAAATGGTAATTAAATTATCATCAAAACTTCAAAGCTCTTTAGGTTGTTAAGATGTTTCCTTCATATTATGCATACTTGATGTTTGTACAGTGTAGTATGTTTTTCCAGATGAATCTGAAGACCCATTGTTACAACAGTCAAAAGTGAATTCTGACTGACTGAATTCTGTTCCAACTCAGCATTTCTGTTTTGCTGGAGTCTAGCTTACAGCCTATTCCTTTGCAATACACCATTTGGGTTCCTTTCTTTTGTTAAATTGTCTCCATAGTGATTATGATTATGATTAAAACCAGTGAGTTTGTCATTGGAAAATAGTGGAAAATTAAGACTGGCGAAGTCAATCATTTGAATCCAGCTTGACCGTGCATTTTACATGCTGAATAAAAAACCTTATAAACAGTAAGGAACTCAAAATAGCTGCAGAATATGGTTGTCAAAGCATCTAAGATGATTATGCAATGTGCTTGGTGAGCTTAATGGATCACAGACTTAATTCAGCTGTTGTCTCAAAGCAGTAAGCACACAAATACTTTTACATTCTAAAATGTACTTAAAGAGAATGTGTCCCAATATTTGTGTTCATCATTAAAACAGGTTCTGCTTAAAGTATAGAGCAACTTCATCCCAAGAGTAAGTGAAATATTATTTTCATGATTCAGCAAATCAATTTAAAAAATAGTGAAAAAAACACTTTACAAAATGAATAAAAACAACAGAGTCCTGTAAAGGAAAATAATCATAAACTTTATTTTATATAGCACCTTTAAAGGTGACTTCTCAAAGTGCTTTACAGAATGAGAACAACAATAAATAAAAAGAATACACAGATATTCTATACAGATACAGATAAAACACAATTACAATATCCAGAGGAGACCATGAATGGTGGTACTAGGAAAAGTAGAGGGGTGAAGAATGGAACCAGTAAAGTAAAGGCTCTTCTAAAGAAGAAGGTTTTGGGTCTGGATTTTAAGGAGTTTAGAAAAGGTGACTCTCTGATATCCTTGGGCAGAGAGTTCCAGAGCTTGGGGGCATAACAGGAGAAGGCCCTGTCGCCCATACAATGTAGACGGGCTTGGGGGACAGTTAGGAGACCAGAATTAGAAGAGCGAAGGTTGCGAGGTGGGGAGTAAGGCGATAATAGTTCAGACAGGTACAAAGGTGCCAAGCCATGCATATATATAGGTGAGCATGAGGATTTTAAAGTCCACATGGAATTTGACAGGAAGCCAGTGCAAGGACTCCAGGATAGGAGTAATGTGATCACTTGCACTAGACCTGGTCAGGATGCTGGCTGCTGAATTTTGGACATACTGCAGTTTGTTCAATGTAGATTTAGATACCCCAGCAAGTAGAGCATTACAGTAGTCAATTTGAGAGAACACAAATGTGTTGATTAGCTTTTAAGCCACTGTTAGTGATGGCATAGGGCGTAGTGAAAAAAATATGTTTTGACAATATGCTGCACATGTGGGTCGAATGTTAAACCAGAATCGAATATCACCCCAAGGTTTTTCAGTTTAGACTGAAGCTCAAGTACCGAACCATCTACAGATAGGGTTATAGAATTTGGCTTTACGAAGCTGATGGGGGATGCCAATAAACATGACTTCAGTCTTGTCACAGTTAAGATGAAGGAAATTTTGAGTCATCCAAGTTTTTATGTCAAAGATGCAATTAGATAGAATAGAGACAACCACATTAGTATCAGGTTTGGTATGGATGTATATTTGAGTATCGTCAGTGTAGAAATGATAGCTGAGGCCATGTGATCTTAAAAGCTGATCAAGTGGAAACATGTAAATGGCGAAGAGCAGGGGGCCCAGTATTGAGCCCTGAGGAACACCAGACTTAACAAGACCAATTTCAGACCTATACCCATTAAGATAGACAAAGTGACAGCGATCAGTGAGGTAAGACTTGAACCATTTGAGAGCAGTGTCAGAAACTCCAAACATAGTCTCAAGACAAGAAAGTAAGGTTTTATGGTCAACAGTGTTAAAAGCAGCACTGAGATCAAGAAGGATGAGTATAGAAGGAGAACCAGAATCAGAAGCTATTAGAAGATCGTTAGTGACTTTGATCAGGGCAGTTTCTGTGCTGTGATGTTGACGGAAGTCAGATTGGAGGGGTTCGAAAAGGTTATTTGTCATGAGGTGGTAATATAACTGAAATGTGACAGCACGTTCTAGAATTTTTTCAAGAAAGGGTAAGTTGGAGATGGGGCGAAAATTGTTAAGATTGTTGAGAGCCATGTTAG